ACAAGGACCTGGCGCCTGAACAGCCTCGGGGTGGGCTTGGTGCCAGCGTCCTCGCTGTCCCGTGCCAGCCCAAAGCTCTCTCGCGCACACACCAACCCCTTTATTGTTGTGCCAGAAACCACAGCAGCGGCGAACACCGAGAGAGAGGGGACAGGGGCTGCCCAAGACCCCACTGCCAGGGCAAGCCCCCCCACCTGGGGAAGGGGTCCCCAGCGCCAGCTGGGCTAAAGCCAGCCTGAAGAGGTGAGCCTGACGCCCAGGAGAGGACCTGGGAGGGCTCCCTGAGATGGGGGGGTCACACAAAGCCTGGGAGGGCTTGGTGTGCTGGAGTGGGTCCGTCCTGATTGCTGGGTTGGCAGAGCCGGACCTCAGGCCAGAGAGGGTCAGTCCAAGCCCTGTGCTGCTGCAAAGCCTGGGCAGGACCCCCGTAGACCCACCACTTTTGGGTTTTTGGGGGGCACCCTTAGAAGGTCTTACAGCAGTAAAGGGATATCCTGGTGCCAGGAAAGCTCCCACCCACCCCATGAAGGGTTCCCCCTCTCTTGCCCTGCCCAGCCTCTTCTCAAGGGCATGTGCTCCCGCTGCCAGCTCTACCTCCTGCGTGGGGACATCTCCATGGGCCACCATGGGTGCAGGGGGGGACCAGGGTGCCCGACCTCCCTCTTTCCAGCACCAATGCTGCAGGTTCCCATGGTACAGTACCCTGCTGCCCAGTTTAGGGGGGCCTATGATGAAGAAGTTGGAGAGTAGATGTGACTATTGGGGTGCAGGGGGCCAAATTCCCACCCGTGCTCCCTGGCTGTCAAGCCCCAGTGACAAGGAAGGAGTTCCCCCCACTGTGAGAGGGCTGCGGCGAGGGCTCAGGCCTCGTGGTCACTGGTGCTCAGGTGGTCCTCGGGCAGCCCCGTCTCATCGATGTTCTCCAGCGAGTCGGCGTGCTGCACCGAGAGCTCGGCCAGGCTGACGCTGGGCAGCGTGTTCTGCTCCGGGTACACCCAGGGCTTGTACCCGGGGTCGTGCTTGCGTTTCCACTCTGGGTACTTCAGCCCAGCCTTGTAGATCTTCTTCATCGCCTGCAGGCAGAGCGGGTCCAGCCCGTCATGGTGACCCAAGTCCCCAGTGGGGATGGAGCCACCCCAGTCTGCGGGCACGGATCCCAGCTCTCTCTCCTTTTTGGAGGTGCTGGAAGGGGATGGGGACCTGGATCGGACCACACAGGCCCAGCAGCACGGCCAGTGCACACTCTGTGAGCCCTGGGTCACACAGCACCCGTCCTGCGAGCCCTGGGTCACACAGCACCCGTCCTGCCCCTACCTAGGAGGCTGCTTTGGGGCAGCTCGTCCCTGATGCCCACACATCCCACCGCTGACCACACACCCTGCTTACCTTTGGTGCCACGAACTGGGAGACACGGTTCACCACCCACTTTGGCAGCGACCCTGCAAGAGCCCAAAGCCCCGTCACTCCCCCCGT